GTGAATCTATCCATATTATATATACTAATCATTTTCTATACTTCTTTGTTAAAATGATTATATATATATATATATATATGTAAGTATATGATGTTACAACGAGTTGATAGACAAACAGGCTATGTCATATATGGCCATAAAAGAAGAGACGTCAGTCACTCATATGGGCCTACTGATTATTTTGGGCTTTGGACCCTAAAGATTTAATTAGGTCCATTTTATTTCATACTTTCTACACTATTGGGCTTAGTGGTCAAAACCCATAATGTGAATTTACCGCAAAATTTAGGCGACCCATTAGAAAGAGGAAAAAAAGAGTGCGTAAAAATCAATTACCAAAGGGTCTCGTTTCGTTTGAGTTCATACAAAATCATTTACCATTAAAAACTTTTAAATATTACATAGGGGATTTGTTTTTAGTTTTTCACCATTCATCTTTTTCCGCCTCGAGATTTACCCCGAGCACCCGCATCATTCTTAATGCAAACAAAATTTAAATAGTAAATTCATAATTAATTTTTATAGCTTCGTGGGAAATTCACTTGTTCTTTTTTTTTTTGGATAATCCGTTTCCTGAGCGAAGCCCAGACTACACTTGTTCTTTTACAATATTCTAGCGGTGAAAATCGATCGAAGCAGAAAAAAAAAGATTAAAATTTAAGAAAATATATACATAAAAAATTTATATACTATATATATATAGATATATACATATACATTCACATATTCACCAATACACATACACATACATATACATCTCACAAACACATACACATATATATGTATGTATTAGTTTTAATATACATATATATTGTAGTTATATGTATATGTGTTTTATTAATTACAAATAATTTTATTTTTAATATATATATGTATATGTGAATTTATATATGTATGTATGTATGTATGTATGTATGTATGTATGTATGTATGTATGTATGTATGTATGTATGTAAGCCAACAGCTCGTGGGCGAGTGGTCAGCAGCTGGGTGCAAAGCACTCAGAGGTTGGCGGTTCGATTCCTGGTTGGGGAGGGGTTTTCACATGCGTTGCCCCGGTCCTCTGGGAGATATAGTTGGGCCAAAGGCCCGGTGAACTTCCGGATTATCAAAAAAAAAGAAAAAAAAATGTATGTATGTATGTATGTATGAATTTAAATAATCTAATTAATTAAAATTTTGTCTGAAATGATGATGTGTGCATGATTTGGAAGCGATGTCATTGTCACATCATCATTTTTGTTTGAATTGGTAGATGCAGGAGATTTTCGGTAAATTTTTAAAAAGTTCGGGTTTTATGAGTTAATCATGTCAAATACAGATTTAACTGATAAGCAAAAAAGGTAAATGTTTTTTCATTGATCTATAAAGGGTACAAGATTTTTTTGACGATTTTTCTTTATATTTGTACATATATTGTTTTTATACTGTAACATCCCATTTCTAACAAATCAATCAAATAAACAAAACAAAACAAAACGAATGTGATATAAAAAGAGATATCTACGTGTAAACTTATCAAAGAATATTCAATCAAACTATGTATCTTAATTTTTGTCACAGAAAATTGTACAAAAATAGTACAATAGATAATAACAATTGAATGAATTTCATAAGTTATCAAAGAACATTGTGCGAATGTTTTTTGTGTTCATTGTTACTACTCAATATGGTTTCAATTTGTTTCATGTTTCCATTATTTGGCTTATTATCTTTTTTATAAATGATAAATTTTATAAATATATTGTAAAGAATTCGATCTTTGTATGAATGTCAGATGAACGATGTGGTGTGTGATGTCGTAATCTAGCTGTATAAATTTGATCAAGTGATAATATCCTAGACTCAATAAATACCGCAAGTGTACGGATCGTGTGTAATAGGTATGGTCAAACACAGGGACAAATAAACAATGAAATCAAATCCAAATCCAAGTCTAAATCAAAAGGAATATGGATGGTGAGAACGTAGCAAAATAAACAATAAAAATAGTTGTAAATTATGAATGATGAACATTGCAGGTTTCGAGATTGCTTTACATGCAAAGGTCTTTCAAAAGATGTAAACTCAGTGTTTTATTTATCCAATTCAGGGAATTCAAGCTCTAAAGTAGAGATTAACCCTCTCGGGTCTAACTTTACTATTAAGACTTTATCCTACTAATCTCTCGATTCTTTGATGACTTTATATTTAGATATTTCTTTCAATATCTTCAATGTAGGTCTTTCTCTAAGGGTCTTATTCTAGTTTGATTTGGTTGAATTAATACATCATTTCACTTTTGAAGGGATGGAAATATATAGTCTACACTCGAATTATTTAGTTCATTGGTTAAACGTGTAAACTTGTGGATGGAAATAAATATGATAAAATCCATAAAAATTCCTGAATTTATAAACCGGTGGAAAATAAATTTATAACTTTTTATTTGATAAATTTATTTTAGAACTTATAAAATGTGTCATTATAATTCCAAAACGTATTAATTGAAATAAAAAAAATCTTGACGATGGTGACACAAAAAAACCAGTCTAGATCGGATTGTTTTTTGGTTGAATTTCAGACATTATATTCAGCCCATTTTGACCTGTATGAGTCAGTCCAGACAAACCAAAATTGGTACGGTTTGGACTAGACTACACAATCGAAACGAACTAGTTTATCGGTCCACTTGAAACACATTGGCTTGTCCGGACAAACCGAAACCAATCCGTCTGGACCACGTTTCGGAAAAATTTTATTTTTCCATGTTATGATTTTGAGAGGCTATTTAAGTTTGGAAAACACTTTCAAACATAAAAACTAATTCCAGAACTCATATGGACGTCTTAGAAACTCAGAGAAGCGGTTCTCTTCGTGTTCTAACCTCCATGATTTGATCCTGAGTCTCTAAAACTCTTTTCTCTTTACAGATTCTATCAGATCAGTTCTAAAATATTTGTTATTGAGACATTGTATTCGAATATTGTATTGACATTGGTAACATCCTATTGCTCAACACCTTTAAAACCATAATATTATATAAAAACAGTGAGCTGAATCTTACATTTTAAAAATTAATTCATTTTTCACAAATTGCGAATGATTTAAGATAAGAGATGAAAAAAAAGTAGAGGTCGAGGTAGATAACCAAACTCTTGTAGAGGCTATCCACAATCAAAATCATAAACAAACGATAGACGGAGAGATTATTCAGGCTATTAAGGATGAGATTATTCAGGCTATTAAGGATATACCCGATTTGTGAATAGGTGGAAATCTAGTAACTAGTGAACATGTGGTTAGAAATAGATAATTATATGGTTCATAATTCATATACTTTTAACTTTTGGGTTTAACCAGTAATTTGGGATTGAAAATCTCCATTAACAATAATTGATTTTACACACTATGAAGAAACCTTATTATTCATTATAATATATCATTTAGAAAAGAATAGAAAACCCTAATCGCCTTTATCGTTTAAAGATTTTTTTTTTTTGATAATCGAAATTTCATTGAGTCTTTGACCCAAATACATATCATAAAAGATCGAAAAAATCCAGATAAATGTTCTTCCCCCAATGGAATCTCGATCTTGGGTTTTCTTTCCTTTCCGATTGAACCACCCAAACTTGAGTTTTATCGTTTAAAGTTATTCCGCTATTTCTCATCTAACTTTATTATGCATTTGAATGAGTTATATTTATATAAAAAAATTCTCAAAATATATTTTAATTAGAATATCTATTTTGTTAGTTTATAATAGCAAATAGATTAATTGGAAAAATATAATTCGCAAAAAACTTCTTTAATGGATTGGTTTTTGGGGGGTACACTTTTTCTTTAGGTCCCAATTTTGGGTGGGTTGGGTTTAGCTTATTAAATCAATTTCATAGTTTGGTTTATTGGACTCCCATACTTGTGTTGGCCGGTTATAATCCGATTAAGAAAGATAATTTTCGTTTAGATCCATTAATACATAAAAAACCATTTTAATCCACATTATTCCCAATAAAGTTGTTTATTTTTGCATCATCGATCTTAGGTGTGATTTTAGTTTTTATTATAGTGTTACTCTGTGGCAGTCTACTGGTGCCACTTTATACGTCAGACACACTATACGTTTATTCGTTCGGCGATCCAAATGTATTAGATTATGTTGCAATTACTAAAATTTGTAATGTATTAGTTTATCTTTCACTTATTAAAGTTTGTAATTTCAATATTCGACTATTTATGTTTAGAACCTATTTAAGTGTTTATGTTGTGTATGATTATTTAAGGATTTAACAAGAAGGTATTTTCTGATTTCTCCTCTATTTCTTGTTCTTTAAAAATAATTCACAATTAAAAAGATTATTTGTCAAAATAGAACCAATATATCTTTGTCTAATAAAATTATGTAGTTGGAGAGTATTAGAGATAAATATTTTCAAGTACCAAAATGTAAAAATACATTTAAAGATTATTAGAGAGAAATATGTAAATCTACGTGTGGTTATGAATTTGGCTGGGTAGATTTAATATTATTTTAACATATGAATGTCAATATTTTCTTTTTCTTGATGTCGTATATCCTTTTTCATCATCTTATTGGTCATTTTCGTCATCAAACCTAAATTAGTTAACTTTTTTTTATAGGTTTTAGTTTTCAATTTTAATTTGGTTTATATTAGGAAGGGCTATGTTTATTCCTTAGAAATAATCAAATATATTGGATTAAATGAATTAATCTAATCAAACTCTATAAAAACTGTATTTAGATTAGTTATTTGGATTATATTTAATTAAATGGGTTTTAGGAGTCAACCCACTAAGTGGATTAAATGGATAAAATTGATAATTTTATTAATACATAAAAACCATTTAAATCCACATTATTACCAATAAAGTTGTTTATTAATCAAATGAAAAATGAGGTAAAGAATACATTCGCACAAAGGAAAACATATATTAATTCATTATGAGGGAAGAAGACCTTTAATATAGATATATATCGAAAACATTATCAAGCGGACTCAGACACCGCATGAATTTCCTCCTGGACCGCCATAGGTGAAATAGACACCGACATTATCATTATCGAATCCGGCATAGCGTAGACCATAGCATTTCTCGTTGTCTATCACCCTGTTGAACGTAAAGTTGTCAGCCCTATACGACAAATAATCCTGTCCTAAGATTTCGAGATTAGCGAAAAACGCCGAGTGATAAGGATCCTTGTCTTTCGGTAGGTTGCCGTTCCCCATGGGCGGGCTCGGACCATTTGGAGGAGCGCGGACCACGCCAGAGAATCCCACCGACGTAGCACCGCCGCCTAATACATCGAACAGTTCCTTTGGCCAATAACCGATATCACTCTTAGAGTCTTTGAGTATTTGAGTAATCCACCAATTTCCTGTCGCATGATCCTTTTACATACGAATAGAAAAGTATTGTCAAGGAATTTCCCACGTAAGGTTTAATATCATATATATATATATGAAATGAAGAGTACGTACCTGATGAATGGAAAACCTAATAAATGACTTGTCCCTAGTGGTATCAAGAGGTTCACTCAAGAAATTATTATTTCCAACTTGCACAAACCCTGGACATTTTGTGTTGATGCAACCCGCCCCGTTGGCACCCTACCATCGCACGTATTTCATATATGCAGTTAATGTAAAGAAGGGAGCCAAAATGCCGGGAAAGAGGGGAACCATACCATCCAAGATCCGTAAGACCAAGCACGGCCATCACCAAACAAGTCCATGTTTATCTGCAAATGGCCGAAAGTTCAAAACTTCAGACCCGAAACAAACTATAAATATAAAACATAAATAGAAAGGGGATAATACCATCCACCCCGCTTCGATAGTGTTCTTTTGGCCATTGGATTCAGCGATTACATATTGCATCGCATATGTAGAAACTCCATGGGGATCTATCTTCAAGTAGTGTGTACTTAACAGCGCAGAGGTCCCGTGATATAGACCATTACCTTCCGACCTCATGCCTGCTATCTGTATACATGTTCCGATGCTTCGAATAAGCTTTATAAAGGTTTACATGCAAAATATATATATATATATATATGAAACTTAAATACGAGGGCTTACATGTGCGCCTGGTTCTTGGGCGGTGTTTGGTGTTAAATGCTGAGGCTTCATGACGTCCTCTTGTCTCGCTCTCATTATAGGAACCGTTCCAACGGGACATCCTATTTTCTTCTCGTGTCTTTTGCTTGACACTTGTGTCTCTGGTTCGAACAGCGACCTCGATGGTTTCAACTAATCATAATATCATGAAAGTGTATATATATAAAGATATATTTATAAGTAAATCACAATTGTAATAATCGTAATAGATTAGAAAACATAATAAGTTTTTGTGATATATTAAACCGAAGAATATACTTGGATGGTGTGGTTCTTGAGCAGGGGATGACTAAGCGATGGTTGTTTATAGATATCCACGCAGTCGTAGATAACATTTTCACTTATCTAACCAAAGAATAGAAAAAATGAAGTTATTTCACACGCATGAACAATGTGAAGATCATATCTCGTATACTTAGAATGTATTCTGCACCTTAATCGACTTCAATAACGGTCTCACAGCTTCTCCGTACTTAACAAACGAAATCAAGATCAAGAGCCCCACTAAATCCATCGTGAGAGCCATGAGATTCAAATGTATTGCGTTTCTTCTGTGATGTATCGTAATGGAAGACACCCACATATTTATATTTGAAGGGTTGGGACTAAATTCATATTAAAATAAAATCAAGCCAACATGGAAACATTTCATTTTTGTAACATAATATAATCAAATTAGAAAGTGACAGTTTGTATGGAATGAAATATGGAATTGACACCACCTATCAAATATATGGTATCAAATATGATTGTCATATCCATGTATACTCAAGTTATATTTGAGTATATATGACAATCATATATTTCTATTTGAAGGCCGGTTATTAAATTAGATCTAGGGGCAAATCTAAAAGAATCCGTTAACTATTTTAATCACACCAAAAAAAATCTTTTACTTAAAATCCATTATAAAAAAGCATAAATTATATAACTTGTTTTAAATCAATCTTTAACTTTAAATTTTTTGTAAAAAAACCCATCAACTATTAATTTTAATAAAAAAAATCATCAAATATCTAAGTTACTTATAAAAAATTATATTTTAAATATGTTATAAAAATGTAATTGATGTTTATAAATATTTTAATATTTTTTTATAAATATGAATATTTTAGTTTTTTATAACAAATTTAAAATAGAATATGTTTGAGTAATTTAGATATTTGATGATTTTTTTAAAAAAAAATTAATGGTTGATATTTTTTTATAAAAAATTTATTATTTTCAAACAAGATATATAGTTGAGAGTCTTTTTTACTCAAAATTAATAGTTGATAGTTTTTTATAATGAATTTTAAATAAAAGATTTTTTATTTGAATAAGATAGTTAAATGATTTTTTTTTTATTTGTCCTTAGATCTATTACCATATCACTTATCACACCAAATCCTTTTATTATATCTTATCGGATCATAATAAAATTAATCTAAGAAATATATTTGCCATAATAAGTAATTAAAATTACTACCGATCACACCAAATCTTTTTATCGTAAAAACAACTTCTACCGAAATTGTACAATACAATATGGAAAAGGGTTTGTTCAAGTTGCAAAATAGAGTGAATCTATCGATATTATATATACTAATCATTTTCTATACTTCTTTGTTAAAATGGTTATATATATATATATGTGCGTGTGTAAGTATATGATGTTACAACGAGTTGATAGACAAACAGGCTATGTCATATATGGCCAGAAAAGAACAGACGTCAGTCACTCATATGGGCCTACTGATTATTTTGGGCTTTGGACCCTAAAGATTTAATTAGGTCCATTTTATTTCATACTTTCTACACTATTGGGCTTAGTGGTCAAAACCCATAATGTGAATTTACCGCAAAATTTAGGCGACCCATTAGAAAGAGGAAAAAGGGAATGCGTAAAAAACAATTACCAAAGGGTCTCATTTCGTTTGAGTTCATACAAAATCATTTACCATTAAAAACTTTTAAATATTACATAGGGGATTTGTTTTTAGTTTTTCACCATTCATCTTTTTCCGCCTTGAGATTTACCCCGAGCACGCCGTATCATTCTTAATGCAAACAAAATTTAAATAATAAATTCATAATTAATTTTTATAGCTTCGTGGGAAATTCATTTGTTCTTTTACAATATTCTAGCGGTGAAAATCGATCGAAGTAGAAACAAAAAAGATTAAAATTTAAAAAAATACACACATAAAAAATTTATATACTATATATATATATACATATATACATATACATTCACATAATCACCAATGCACGTACATACATAAATACACATACACATACATCTCACAAACACATACACATATATATATATTAGTTATAATATACATATATATTGTAATTATATGTATATGTGTTTTATTAATTATAAATAGTTTAATTTTTAATATATATATATATGTATTAATTTAAATAATCTAATTAATTTAAATTTTGTTTGAAATGATGATGTGACGTAACTATGATGATGTATGCATAACTTGGAAGATATGTCATTGTCACATCATCATTCTTGTTTGAGTTGGTAGATGTAGGAGGTTTTCGGCAAATTTTTAAAAAATTCAGGATTTTATGAGTTAATCACACCAAGTACAAATTTAATTGGTAAGCAAAAAATAAATGTTTAAAGAGTACAAGATTTTTTTTACAATTTTTCCTTATATATATATATATATATTATACTATATCATTCCATTTCTAAAAAATCAAACAAACCAACAAAACAAAACGAATGAGATATATAAAGAGATATCCACGTATAAACTTATCAAATAATATTCAATCAAACTATGTATCTTAATTTTTATTATAGAAAATTGTACAAAAATTGTACAAAAAGCGTACGATAGATAATAACAATTGAATGGACATCATAACTTATCAAAGAACATTGTACGAATGTTTCTTATGTTCATTGTTACTATTCAATATGGACCCAATTTGTTTCATGTTTCTATTATTTGGTTTATTATCGTTAGTTACAAATGATAATCAAAATTAAATTATATACTTTAATTAAATATTCTTTGATTAGTTTTATCTTATTAATTTCTACACCATTGTAGGTGCACTTGTAGCTTTTATTATAGTATTACTCGTGACAGTCTACTGTTGTCTCTTTATACGTCAGGCATGTCGTACGTCTATTCGTTCGGCGATCCAGATGTGTTAGGTTATATTGCAGTTATTAAAATTTGTAATGTATTTGTTTATCTTTCACTTATTAAAGTTTGTAATTTGAATATTTGTCTATTTATGTTTAGAACTTATTTAAGGGTTTATGTTGCGTAGAATTGTTTAAGAATTTAATAAGAATATATTTTTATACTGGAACATCTCATTTCTAAAAAATCAAACAAACCAACAAAACAAAACGAATGGGATATATAAAGAGATATCCACGTATAAACTTATCAAAGAATATTCAATCAAACTATGTATCTTAATTTTTATTATAGAAAATTGTAAAAAAATTATACAAAAAACGTACTATAGATAATAACAATTGAATGGACTTCATAATTATCAAAGAACATTGTACGAATGTTTCTTATGTTCATTGTTACTACTCAATGTGGTCCCAATTTGTTTAATGTTTTTATTATTTGGTTTATTATCTTTATTTACAAATGATAATCAAAATTAAATTATATACTTTAATTAAATATTCTTTGATTAGTTTTATCTTATTAATTTTTATTAATTTCTACATAATTGTAGGTGCGCTTTTAGCTTTTATTGTAGTATTACTCGTGACAGTCTAATGTTGTCTCTTTATACGTCAGGCACGCCGTACGTCTATTCGTTCGGCGATCCAGATGTGTTAGGTTATGTTGCAATTACTAAAATTTGTAATGTGTTAGTTTATCTTTCACTTATTAAAGTTTGTAATTTGAATATTCGACTATTTATGTTTAGAACTTATTTAAGGGTTTATGTTGCGTAGAAATGTTTAAGAATTTAATAAGAATGTATTTTCTTATTTCTCCTCTATTTCTTTTTCTTTTAAAATAATTCACAATTAAAAAAATTATTTTTCAAAATAAAAGCAATATATTTTTGTCTAATAAAATTATCTAGTTGGAGGATATTAGAGATAAATATTTTCAAGTACCAAAATGTAAAGTATATAGTTAAAGATTATTAAAGAGAAATATACAAATCTGCTTATGGTTATAAATTTAACCAGTGGATTTAATACTACTTTAACATATGAATGTCAATATTTCTTTTTCTTGATGTCCTATCCCTTTTTATCATCTTATTGCTCAATTTCGTCGTTAAACCTAAATTTGTTAACTTTTTTTTATAGGTTTTAGTTTTTAATTTTAATTTAGTTTATGTTAGGAGGGGCTATTTAGATATCTCTTTCACGAGGATAATCATTTTCATTACTGACTTTATCATTTTTTAAACAATAGTAATTAAATTGATTATCCGAAATTTAAATTGGTGATTATCAATCGTACAAATTTCGTACAGTTTATAAAATAAAAGATTAAACTATATATTTTCAAACAATCGTTTTTCTGAAGTTGAATATAGGTACAATTGTGTATATATATTTTATCATTTTTTACCTTCATGTTAATAGATACTAATATTGTTCCAATTTTTTTACAGATTATAGTGAGGGTAGAGACTCAGCATCTTGGATTCACTCGTACCATAGATTTATATAATCATGTATTGTAACTCTCCGAGGTCGTTACGTAATATCAAAATTATCCTTTATATACTAAAACAAGATCTTTTAATGTGTTTTGTCCTCACTCAAACACATTCTGAAAATTATTTTCTATGAGGACACTCATCCTAAGACTACTTCAGAGCATGTCTCCTTAACTTTGGAGTTCTCTTGAGATAGACAATCAAAAAGGTTGATGCATATTATTGTTTGAGTAGCTCAATCAATTTCTTTAAGTTATCCTTGACTGTGTAGTCTCATATACCTACACAACCTTCGAATCTCTCTCATTCAGGTGTGTTCGATTCATCCCTTTACCATCTATCCACTCGGTCAGGAGTTACCTCTTGTTCGTCCCACCGGCGATCACTCTCCGTCTCCCTACGGTATCCAAGTATTCAATTAGGCGTATTTCTCATGTTCATTACAAGAGTAATCGCGACGGTTTATTTCTGTCATTATGTATGTCGTAACGCATGTTGTGCGTCGACTCGTTTTGCGGTTCAGATGTTATATATTATAAATATTTAATTTATGAGATCTGTATATTTTTAAAAAGTTATAAAATTTATCTTTTAGCAATGTATTTGAATGCAATTTATTATTTGTTATTGAGGCATTGTATTATTTACATGATAGTGGGAAGATAAATAGTTTGATATGCTTGTTTGATATAATAGAGATAGAGGTAGAAGAGAGACATTACCAGGAAGCAAGATAGGAAAGAAGACAAAGCGAAAACCCAGAGCAATTACGGAGAGAGAGGATTTGAATGAATGAGAGTTAATCCTAATTTTGGAAGAGAGACTTTCAATGGGCAGAAATATTTT